ACATGCGACCCACCGTTTACGGCGGAGGATTTAATGTGGGCCGCATCGAGCTTCAATCCCAAAAAGGCCCCAGGCAATGACGCATTAACGGCAGACATTTGTCAGGCTGCTATCACCCTGAATGTAGAGCTCTTCCTGGCGCTCACGAATGCGTGCCTCCGCCTGGCACACTTTCCTACGAAGTGGAAAGAGTCGGTGGTAGTGTTTCTGAGAAAGCCGGGAAAGGACGATTACACACACCCCAAATCCTATAGACCCATTGGTCTCCTGCCGGTTCTAGGAAAGATCCTAGAGAAAATGCTTATGCGGAGGATCAGATGGTTCGTATTGCCGGCCATCAGCAGAAGGCAATACGGATTTCTACCGCAACGCAGTACCGAGGATGCCCTCTATGACCTGATGAAAGTAATTAAGACCCATAGAAAAAACAAGAAACTTGTACTGTTAATATCACTGGACATAGAGGGCGCCTTCGACAATGCTTGGTGGCCGGCCATACGATGCAGGCTGGCAGAGACCGACTGCCCGGTAAACCTGAGGCGCGTGGTTGACAGCTATCTTCAAGATAGAACCGTGCGCGTCAGGTATGCCGGTGCGGAATGGGTAAAACAAACTGCTAAGGGGTGTGTGCAGGGCTCAATCGGGGGTCCCACATTGTGGAATCTACTCTTGAACCCACTCCTGGAGGAGATTGGTGGAGGAGGTGAATATTGTCAAGCATTCGCGGATGACGTCGTCCTTGTGTTCTCCGGGGACACAGCTCTCGAAATTCAGCGACGGGCAAACGCCGTCCTGGCACAGGTGCAGAGCTGGGGAGATAAGAACAAATTGAAATTTGCACCAAGTAAGACCAAGGCTATGTTGGTCACAAATAAGTTAAAATATGACACTCCAGTTCTGCACATGGGCCAGGGGTATATTGATATGTCCCAGGAGATGAAGATTCTGGGCCTAACAATAGATGCCAGATTGACTTTCAATGGTCATATAAAGGGTGTCTGTGGTAGGGCACAGAATATATACAAACAACTATCGAGGGCAGCAAAAGTTTCCTGGGGCTTGAATCCGGAGATCATAAGGACGATATACGTAGCTGTGGTGGAACCGGTGATCCTGTATGCGGCGAGCGCCTGGGCACCAGAAACCTACAAGGTTCAGGCACGTAAACAATTGAACCTGGTGCAACGCGGCTTCGTGCAGAAGATCATTAAGGCATACAGGACCGTCTCCTTAAACTCGGCCCTGGTACTCGCCGGGTTGCTTCCTCTGGATATTAGGGTCAGGGAAGCAGCCTCTCTTTATGAAATAAAAAGAGGTTACTCTAGGCGTATTATTGGGGACCGGGATTTGGAGAGGCCTGTACCATATGCCAAGATGCAACACCCAGTCAAGCAAACCGGGCCAGGATTCATATGTCTGGGGGATGGTGCACAAATAACCCAACAAAGTACGCGACTAAAAATCTTTACGGACGGAAGTAAATTAGAAGGGAAAGTTGGCGCAGCGCTATCCATAAGAGATGGCGCTGCGGAAACCAGTACCAAAAAACTCAAGTTGGGGGATTTTTGCACCGTCTACCAGGCGGAATTACTGGCCCTGTTAGAAGCCACTAAAGTGGCACTTAGGGATCCTGCACGAGGCTGCACAATATATAGCGACTCAAGATCTGCTCTTGAAACGATCAGTCGCGGCGACTCCCTGCACCCCATGGCCGTAGAGGCGAGGGAAAATATCGCAAACCTGAAAAATCAGGGCGGTTCCCTTGACCTCTACTGGATCAAGGCCCATGTGGGATTGGAGGGAAACGAAAGAGCAGATTTCCTGGCAAAGGAGGCCGCACGCAGGATCAAGACGAGGCCACATTACGACAGATGCCCGGTTTCATTCGTCAAGGGGCGTATCCGTCAGGAGTCCATTGACGAGTGGAACTGTAGGTATCAGGAGGAGCAGACAACCTCAACTACGAAGATCTTCTTCCCCAGCATAAGTAAAGACGTGCACCACCAAATAAGGAAAATTGATCTGGATCCGTTACTGGTGCAGCTGCTGACAGGCCACGGAGGCTTTGCAGGCTACCTGCACAGATTTAGGTGCAGAAGCAGCCCTGCATGCGAGTGCGATGTGGATACAGAGCAAACCGCAATCCACTTAGTGACAGAGTGCCCTGTCTTTGAACGCGATAGAATAGACCTAGAAATAGTAATTAATAGTAAAATAACATCAACAAATATACATAACATCATGGCGAACACAGAGACCAGAGACACATTCCTAAGATTCTGTAAAAAAGTAGTCAAAATTGCAAACAAGAAAAACAAGTAAAGGAAACAGAAGAGGTTTGTACGACATACATATAAGTATGCCATACAAAGCCCGCCGATATGAGGAATAAGACAGTACAGTACATACAGTATAATAGATATAGTATAATTAGGACAGTAGATAATAATTATTGTAATCCAGATAACAGATACAGAATAACAAGAAGCACGGAAATGTATTAATGTAAGAAACTTGAAATCCCAGCATCACAGACCGAACTACCACACCCTTCCAAAAGAATCTCAATAACATTTAATGAAATAATGAATCAACAAGAACTTGAACAAAAAATAGAATTCGAGACCACAAAAATTTTTACCGACGGCAGCAAGAGTGAAGCGGGAGTTGGAGCAGCCTTTGTAGCTTTTCTTACGGTTGGGGAAACAGTCACAAAAAAGTACAAACTTCAAGACTACTGCTCAAACTATCAAGCAGAAATGCTAGCTATAAAAAAAGCCACGGAATGGACAACAGAGGGTCAGCAGCATCACTACACAATTTTCACAGACAGCAAGTCAAGCCTCCTTGAATTAAATAATCCCAACACTACCAACCAACTAGCAGTCTCAATACACCAAGACATCATCAGAAACACAAAAACAAAATTATTAACTTCTATTGGATTAAGGCGCATAATGACATAGTTGGCAACGACCTAGCAGATGCTGCAGCGAAAGCAGGGGCAAAACTCGACAAAACTCCTGACTACGACAAATTCCCTATCTCCTTAATTAAAAAACACCATCGCACCACCCTTGAATTAGAATCGGAAAAATACTATAATATATCAAGCAACTGCACATATATAAAAACCTGGCTCCCGACTTATAAAACCTTAACCAAAGTCCTAAAAGAAATAAAACCCACCTTTAGCATTACACAGATCCTCACAAACCATGGATATCACAAACTGTACCTAAAAAGGTTTAAAATAACAAATGACAACAAATGTCCTTGCGACAACAACTCTACACAAACAATAGACCATCTCCTAAAACAATGCCCTAAATACAGCAAAACCAGACTGGAACACGAAATAAACTGTGAAAACCATCGAAAGGAACCATTCAAATTAGAAGAAATAATAAGTAAAGAAAGTACAACAGACTCATTTACAAAACATATAGACACCATAATTAAAAACCTAAAATCATTTAACAAAACCTAGCGCTCATTATAACATAAAATATCAAATGTCAAAGCCCAATATGGGGACGTATACCGTTAGCGTCCCCTTATCTGGAAGTGAACCACTTCAAAAAAAAAAAAAAAAAAAAAACCTAAGCTAACCTAACCTAACCTAACCAACCGACCGACCGACCGACCGACCGACCGACCGACCGACCGACCGACCGACCGACCGACCGACCGACCGACCGACCGACCGACCGACCGACCGACCGACCGACCGACCGACCGACCAACTGTCTGAACGCTGCCGAACTATGCCTAGGAACACTTGCTTCATAAGAGGAGGCTCGAGTGATATACTTATTGTGTTCCCGACACCACTCTATAGACATTTAGGTTTATTTTGTTGTGATCACTCCGAAAAGTGCACAAGCAAAGTGGAGCTTGCGTCTGGTCGCCATTTTGAGCATATCATTTTCATTGAGGAACGGGCTTACATGTCCTCTAGGCGGCACATCAAAACAAAACCTGACACAAGCATTTGGAACGCGCTGAATAAGGCGTGCGGTAAGGTCAGCAAGCACGGCCCATACACAATGTCAGCATAATTAAATTTCGACAATATGATTGTATCTGTCAATTTCTTGCGCAATTCAATACTCAGGTACTCACGCATTTTATATAATAAAATCTTTAATCGGTAAAAACAGTTTCTAACAACGCCTGCAATATAGTCTTTTCAAATCAGGGCTAACCATACCTCCAAATTATGTACAATTTACGTACAGACGGTTGGCCTTACCACAGTGATTTCACGCACGCCTATGTGTAATAATATGTCGGCGGACGGTTCCGCAAACAGTTTTTTTTTTTATAATGCAGGCATGCAAGTCGTGGACATATGCTAAGAAGAAAAATCTGAAATGCAAGGTTTTTACCAAATAAAATATAATTAAGAAATAAAGTACTGCTCTGAAAGCTCTTCAAAACCAAAGCCTTCATTATGCACATCATGTTTTGAGGATAATGTACCACAAACATTTCAAAATGATGATTGGCAAAAATATAATGTTTAAATGTTTGATTAGAATTAAGCAGGATTTTCACAGATTTAAAATTTTCCCTAAACACACTCTTTGGTAGCAATGGACTATTTATGATAATGTTTGGTGGTCTGTTTAAAGTACATATTATGAATTTAGAAACTTTGACAAGCGATTGAACTATATCTTTAAAAACACTTACTTATGAACCCGTATGGAAGGGTCTATTATAAAGTATGGACTAAGATGTATGGGGATAAATTATGGAAAAAATCAATATATAATAGCCCAATTTTAATATTTATATCTTAGCAGAGAATCCACACATGTTTACAAATATTTGCATAAATTTAAAATTGCTTACCGCTAGACAGAACCACTACTAGTGTTCTTCACAAAAAATATTTTTCTTATAAAATTGAACACGTAATGAATATTGGAAACTGAAGTGAATATTGTAATAATGAAATAAATGGCATCAGAATATGGCAAGTAATTGCCTTAAGATTGTGAGGGCGACAATGAGTGCACGAGTCGCGGTTTACGTAGGCCAATGGAGTCGTTTTTCCCTGCATCTCCCATTGTCTCCATCTCAATGCTCTGTCTCTCCGTTGTTGCTGTAGTGTCCTCACCACTGTTGCCTTCAGTCGACGGTCGTCGTTTGCGTCGACGCACACGGCGACGTGTGCGCCGAGGCGGGTCTGATGTAGCTTTAGCTGAGACACCATCAGGTTCTACAATGGACGAATCACCACTGAAACGTTCCAACAGCTCTAGGGCTTGTTGTTTTACTTGAATTAATGAGTCATCTCTTTCATCTTTCTGTGACATTATGGCCGGAACACCTATTCTATTGACTTTATGAGGCAGGTTGTTAGATTTGAAACTTTTCTGGAAATGCGAGTGCTCCATTCCATTTAATGTTAAAATTTTTTCTTCTTCCTCTATGACATCACCAGATAATGGAATCACCCTAAAATTTTACAGAGGAGCACAATTTTAGTAAAATACAATGGAATCTTAAAAATAATTTTTTATAACAAATTGCAGCTTTTTTGAAGTAAAACTGAATAGAATATTCTCAATTACGTTTTACTTTTACTATTATAATTATTTCTTTAAAACATGATTTATTATATTGCAAATTATATAAGATTTATATATAGTGTAATGACAAATCACTTAAAATACTTTAAACAATCTGAGTCAATGAAAATGCACTTTTTATTTAATTTATTGTATGTTACAATATTTAAACGAAGAATTAAATTTCACTAATCATTTAATCATTTTCATTTTAGTCCATTCAAAGGTTACCTGGAAGAAATTACTTTTAGTAATAAGGACGCCCATTGTACCCATCATTTCTACATTAAGTTTTGCCTTTGTTTGTTTAAATGTTTATCAATTAATTTTGGTGTGCGATAAAGTTTATTCTTTCATTCATTCCTCATTCAGCATTTCACTATGAAAATGACATATCGTAATTTATTATTTAACATACATAGACAACTCTTATTAGAAAATAGATTATGTATAAAAATTAAAAAAGAACATAACAGGAAAAGAAAAGCAATATTCAAAGTTTGAGTTTGTAAAAAAGGACTATAGGAAATTAATTATTTGCTTTTCTTATTCAAATTTCACTTACTCAACAGGGTCATCAGGCTGTAAGAGTGATAATGGTTCTTCAGAAGGTAACAAATGACCGCGACTGCGCAAGCAGAAGCGGCCGCGTAAATCAAATAGTGTTCGCAAACGTTGTTCCAGCCATTGCACTTGATATCTGGGTATCACACTAATATACGCTCGTGATCTCTCGTCACTATAATATCGCTGAAGACACACGCTAACACGGAATCGTATTTCATCCATCGTATTGTTTTCTTTCATTCTAGATTAATAAAATCTCGTCGTCTTATGTTATGATCATTAACACCTTTAAATTCCAATACCGTTTTAGCAACGGTATGAAATCCCTGTGCTCTATATGCCTTAATAACGTACTACTTCAGTAAAAAATTTCGGCCTTAAATAAAGATCTTAACGTTTCTTAAAAATTCTATCTAGTTCATCAAAAATGAATGAGTGTGTATAACATACTATCAATTAACTTTATTAAATGTTGCTGGCAAAAACACAGTCTCAGTGTTTAATCTTTATTTAGTAAATATAACAGTACGAACGTTTAATGTACGATAATAAGTAATTAAACTAAAAGCGCGCGGCAAAGAAAATGTAATCACTACGTTTTGGCGCGCGTTATGAATTCTCATTTTTGACATTATATATTGACTGTTGACATGATATTGACATTTGACACATATGTCAAAGTGATTTTTTTTTTTTATTATTCCTTATCGGCTAGAATTTTTACATGCAGCCTATTCATCATTCGGCTTTGCTCTCCCACGGAGTGAATTGGCTGAATATTTTGAAAGAATTAAAATCGTATTTTTTATGAAATAACACATTTTTCTTAAAATTAATTTAATATGTTTGTGCTAGTCTCTGCACTTTAGAAGAAACCTTTATTTTGTAATTTTTTGTAGATAAATGAACAAGAACTTTAGGCGTTGCGGAATTCGAACCCGCGTCTTCTGGTTTCGTGACTAAACGCTTTACCAATTAAGCTTAGATTTTTCTTTTCGTTTTTCTTTTAATTATTTTTAACTTTTTACACCCAGTTTCCGAAAGCGAAATCAATTTTAATTTACGATAAATCTCTTGTCAATCGTTGTTTAACATGATCTGAGTTGCTAGAACGTCTTAAACAACATTGATTTTGATTTGCAATTAGTCACTGATTAACGGACAATCAACATAAAATCGAGTTTCTGAAAGCGTTTTTCGGTGGTCAAAGAGCTGTCAAAAGTTTTATTAAGTAATCTGTCAATTTGGACGATCAATCGTTGGTTAAAAATGTTATTAATCAAAAATCTTAGTTTTTATTAAAAATAAACATAATTCCCTAATACGTTGTTAGGACATTCATGTATTCTATTACCTATTTATTATTTATTATTATGCGAACATAATTATCATGTGATTAGAAAAAATACAAAATGCAATTCAAAAGTTAATAAATAATATGGATTCTTTCTTTTTATAATACTTACTTGTTTATTATGGATGAAAGTTCATTTTTTTCACGTTCGGAAAATTTTTTATTTTGACATTTTGCATAAATTAAATTTATTTATTAAATATTTATATAAATTAAATTTTATTATAGCTCGGATTTTTACGTTGGCAATCACACGGTGACAGGACTGGATAGTGACGTTAATTTAAGTTTTATTTAAAAAGGGACAGCTATACAATAGAAAGAGTTAGTTGAAGTAAATCATTCATTTCATTCATTATCATTGGTTATACAATGATTAACTAATTTTTCTTGAACAAACCTTCCATAAACCCAAGGCAGTTTAACAAGAGATTAACAGCTGATCATTTTTGACATAGTGTTATGTGATTGCTGCTTTGATTGGCCTTTCGGAAACTGGGCATTAGTATTATCTTATATTTTAATAACTTTACATATCAATCGGTTATGTAATTACAAGTTAGCTGTTTGTAACATTTCTCATTCTATCCATTTAATTTAATGCGTTAATATTCACGTCAAACAAACTACCACCACTCACCATCTATCAAAAACAGTCCACCCATTAAGACGAATCAAACTCGACGCGGTTGTGTCACTTATTTACTGAGTTCCTATGAAACTAAATCAAAGATTGTAAATAATAAAAGCTTTTAAAAATAGACCAATCTCGTAAATTAACGTGTCACATTTCAAAAATTGGTCAAGTGCGAGTCGAATTCATACGCCGAAAGTTCCGTACCTACCCATTATACCGCCATAAAAAAATGTGTAAATAATCACCATCGATTTCTCAGAAACGGGTAGACCTAGAAAGTTGAAATTTATACCAGATACGCTGGTCTATAGGTGCTTATTAGGTGTTGAAGTCATATATATAAAAATATATGGGCAAATATTTTCGCGAAAACTTGTAAGTACCAAAATCAAAAGTATTTGGGGCAAACTTTATTATAAGGTGATTATTACGTTGCATCTGTACGGGTGTTGCAAATTTCCACTGACGGCGGTTAATACTTAACATCAGGTTAACTGCCAGTTCACCTGACACCTTTTCTCATTAAAAAAATCTTATCGTCGAATATCCTTCAATGTTTGAAGACTAAAGTCTTCAATCAATGTATGTTGCAAAGCTGACATACAGTATAGTACTTGGTGGTATCGCATGAAGAAGCTTGAAGTCACTCAATGAGCTATGGAGCTATGCTATGCTTGAAATTTCTCTGAGTGATATTCTTGAAATCATACAAATGATAAGGCAACAGGTAGGGCATACATAGTATATACCTATATAGGTATATACTATGTTTTCCCTACCTGTTGGCTAACTATTAGGATATAAGATATCTTAAATCCTAGTAGTTTGTTTTCTATACCCTGTTATCTACCTACTGTTTCGAAGCGAATGCTAACGTATAATGTTGTGTAAAAAAACTCTTTTTAACCATATAAGTGTGTGTGTTCATCTAGGAAAAATGGATCTCAATGAAAAGTTTACTATTAACATATCTGATATTAGGAAATGCCTCAGAGTAAAAAGCACGAGATAGGTGAAAAAACGCTTTTAATTTAGATCTTAAACCGTCAATTAAACCATTTCACTTGTCTTTTGTATCAAGATTTTTTTTGTTTATCTAGCAACCCTTCCATAATGATTATTCAATTATCACCATAGAGAAAATATAACGAACAATTGTCTATGCAGGATTGTTCTGATTTTGACAGGGTTACCAACTTAGGGTTTTTCCCCCCAAATATAGGGTCTAAGCAAACGCATTCGGACTTTTTTAGTGGCGTTATATTTTTAGGGATTTTCTGAATTCTTATAATCTTTCCAACGTTTTATTTCTTGGTATTTTATTTGATTAAGGAGGTGTAATAAGATGGCTGAAATCACGATAAACCGGTGTATATACCGAATAGTTTCGGACCCATCGGAGGTACTTCATCAGGGTGAGTGGGATTCCCAGTTTCGCACTGTGCGCCTGAGCACGCATCATGGGTGGATGGCGCGGGTTGCGCCGATGATGATGAGCATCATGAGATGATAAATCCAGCGAGGTTGATATAGTGTCACTGTTGGTGTTTAGTGTCGCACAACAATTATGTACTCACTACGTCCACTATCACTATTGTTCTTATTCCGTGTCGCATTCAACAACACGGGTTTCCAAGTAGGCGGCAGAGTCCATCCCTTGTCTCTATTAAAATTAGTCCGGCGTTCGATCTCGATAGCTTCCAAGAGATTCCGTGACACGAAGTTCTTTTCACAGGCTAGCACTTTCACCTTATCGAACCTTATACAATTTGAGATGTCGAAGTTAAGGGCGTGCTCTGACACCGCCGAGGTTATGACGTCCATTTTTCCTATCTTGCCGATGTGTGAGGTAAGCCAGTTTATTATGACGTTAGTAATGTTTCACGAAATTTTTTATACAATTTTTAAAAAAATTAATCTTGGCTTGCAATCTGTATTGCAACTAGGCCCAAATATAATAGGGTCGTGGGTTCGATTCCTGCACGGGACAACTATTTGTGTGACCGATAGATGGTTGTAAGAATATTGGCAAATCGTCCTTACAATGCAGGATAATGTTATCCTAAAGAAAAGGCAATGATTTTTAAAGAGAGAAAAAAAAGAATCCCATTCTATTTTTGGTGCAATTGCACCATTCGCGCGCGCGTTCAACCCCCGCGCGGCACTTGCCGTAGGCAGTGAAATGCCACTGTACTTGCTGTAGTGTAAACAGCTACTGGCCACGGTACTTATAATGTAAATCGGGCTTTAAAGAAATCGCCAAATGTAATTAAAGTATTTTATTAATAATTATGAATTACATTTGAACTACGGTAAAAATATTGGTTGTCTAAAGAAATCATAAGTGACTATTTTTTATAAAATAAAATTTCCTACAGATTTTGTTTAAAAACTTTTTATAAGGTCAACATTTTCGCTGCAATATCCCTCACTGTATTCTTATATTTTTAATTATTCAATTCATGAGGAAATTGAAGTGAAAATCCTTGCGCTATTTATTATTTATATTTTTTTGAATAATATTATTTTAGGGGGTTTTGGCTTAAACTTTAGGGACAATTATTTTCGACAGTTGGTAACATTCCGTTCTGACTTTTGTTTATTCTCTGTTCTCCGTGCTGTTTTATGGTGTTTACTTGCATAAAATTTCGCAATAAATAACAATAAATACATTGAAACACGGTAGGATATTGATTTTCAGGCGTATCATTGTAAATTACTGCAATTTCAATAAATATCATCAAGGTGGGTCAAGGCTTTGGATCGATTAAGTGACTTCAGTGTAATGTTACTCTAAGACTAGCGAATTAAATTGTATTCCATTGAATGCAGATCAGTAAAAGGAATCGGGCTGGGCGTGCTCGTGCGGCACGTGTGATGTTGGAGGGCGGAGGGCGCTGAGCGCTCGGGATGTCGAACGTGGAGAACGTGTGCCCGCAGGTGCTGCGCGGCGTGTTGCGGGAGGTGCGCCGGTTGGCCGCCGACCCGCCCGCCGGCATCAAGGTGGTGCTGCGCGACAACGACCTCACCGACGTCATCGCCCTCATCGATGGACCGGGTGAGGCCCATAACGTCTCGTGCATCTGAATTTATTTGCGCTTTATTCAAGCTGCTGAAAGGCATAAAATGATCCCTATTGTATTCTGTGTATTTGTGTTTGAGAGATCCCGAAACATTTTAAAATATGACATGCAGTACAATAATTTTATTTCATATCCTATTATAAAAGATTTAATTCTGTCCGAATGTGAAATTGATACTAAACAGCAATTTGTACATATTGAAATGAAAATAGAAGAAACTTTTTATAATTAAACAATGTTTTTATTGTGTATGATATTGACTGTAATTGCTATTGTTTCAAATACTTAATTGTGTGCAATAGGCTGAGATATTCATGTAAATAATAGGTTATATTCTTGATTGTAAATGTCTCTTAATATAGCATTTGCTTTTTCTTCTTCACTACATATATAATGATTATCACTTATATAATGATTATACAGCAAGCCATTTACACATGAATGGGTCTAGCGAAAAGGCTTTTGTCACATTTTACCTTTATATTGGATAGCAATGCAGTACAAATGATTATACAAATTGCTATGTTCTGCCAAAAACAACAGTAAAATAACTTAACTATAACTGATGCCACAAAGATATATTGCTTATAAAATATGGATACAAGGTAAAAAAAAAACAATAATGTCCATAACATTCAGCAAATAATACAACCAGAATCCGTACTCAATTATCTTTCTCACCCCTCATTTTCCACATGGGTACCTATAATCAACAGTGGTCTTTGGCTACCAGAATTCTAAACATTTGACATTTTGACATGTACAGTATCTCAATTTTTTAGTTTTATAGTTTTCAAATTGTCATTGTATAATAATATTTGAGAAAATGTGTATGCTAGAAAGGAACTGCACTCCATGCCAATAAGTGTTATTTAAATGCAATTAGTTTAGGCCTTCTGTGTAGTTTAGTGACTTAGTGGTATGGGTAAAATTTTCCATTACCACAGTGTGATTTAACAGGTGCAAAAAAATTTTATTCGATAAAGAAAAATCACTAATGAAATAAACAACAAGTAGAATTATCTGGCTGCGCATAGTTTTCGAGAAAAAAAATATTTAAAACTCGTTATTTTCACTAAGAAAGTTCTCCATTTTGTTATTGACAACATGTTTGATATAAAGCTACTAAAATATTTTTTGTTAAAAATACATACATATTTGAAGTCGCACACTTTTCCAAATGGTAATGTCGCATTAATAAAAAACACTGACGCTTCTTCGTCTTTGTTTTAATTATTACATTGTAACATTTAAAAACTTTCATATTAAATCAAAAATACGTCTTGTCCACACTTTAAACAAACAAAACTTTTTACAAGAACACCACGACGACACAAAAAATTGAAAAGTACTGAACTATCTGATTGAGATTCTAATAAAATTTTATAAAAAGAAATAAAATATAAATTACAATACGTACATAATTCACTAGTGCTAGTAGACGCGCACATATTATCCACCATTACAAATACAAATATTAAAGAGGAAATTGAAAAGACCGGAAAATACTTATCTTTTTAAATTTAATATATAATTAGGTACTCAAATATCAATACAGCCAATATGCTAATATCGATTTCGGAACTCGATTACAAATTTTATAAAATATTTTTAATCAGTGGTATAAATTAATTTCAAGTCTATTTAACACAAATTGATAGTTTTTTTGCATATTTTTATATATCAAGAAGCCTTATCTAATTAAGATTAATAGTGATTTTTTCTTTAATTTTTTTTTACATACGAAATATTCACCTTTCATAAATTTTAATTTTTTGTTTAGTGTAAAAAAAAATATTCACATTTCTGGCCGTGGAAGAGTCAAATTTAATTATGAATTAATAATCATTATTTCATTATTAAATTTGACTCTTCCACGTGCTTCGCCAGAACACTCGCTATGTCGCCCTTGAGTGTCGCTTCACCCACTCGGCCTTCGCTCCGCTACGGGCGCAGGACCTCCGGCGCGAGGTTCTGGCTCCGCCTTTTTATGTTCACTCTAGGGGTAGGGACCACAAAACCACATGGAGTTGGGGTGCTCTGTGTCGGATCTGTGACTCATTATTTTTTTACAAAAAAAAAAATTTCGATTTTACAGTCGATACGAGTATGACGTCACTCGCTACCTATATTTATCATATTGGCAGTACTGTATATTGAGTTTTTGAAGTCCACTTTGAAGTTTTATCTCCAAAACTCTGAGTGAGCAGATAATTCTGCGTGTTGATTATTTCATTAGTAATTTTTCTCTATCGAAAAAAGTTTTTTGTTAGCTTGAAAATCAAACTTTGGTAATGGAAATTAATACCGTGGTATGTTCTAATTGTGGCTGTGGCTCAAAAAATATTCGGTAATTAATCTACACATGTTTTATCATCATAAGTGCCAAGACTAAATTTTGTTAGAGGTTAGGTATGTTAGGTTACATAAGTTAGATTTTCAATATTTTATAGTAAAATAGTTGTAGTATTATTATAAACATCTTAGTTCTAATAGTTTTTTGAAGTCTGTTCTTTTATGGTGACATTGATTGCTCTACTCTGATTTTTTTTTGTTTGTGTTAATGCAATCTGTTTTTATGAACATTAAGCATTAGGTTAAGTATTTGTAGACTTGCAGGGCAGTCGGTCCAGTGATGTGTGCCCATTGTTTGTCGTATTCCCTATAAATCTCTAGGGGACTTTCTTTTTAGTCTCTTAAATGTTGAGTAACTTTTCATTAAGTTTGAAGCCAAGGAGTTTGGATGAGAGTCCAATCTGTTCTTGTATGATTCTATTGAGTATTTAATATCTTCTTGTATTATTCTGATTTCTAGATTGTGGTGAAGTTGTTGGTTTGTTATATAAACCAAGGAGCATTAGTTATTATCCTCAGCATTTTGGACTGGAATCTTTGAAGTATTTCTAGGTTTGAGTTGCCAGTTGTGCCCCAAAGTTGCACTCCGTAAGTCTAGGTTGGTTTCAAAATACATTTGTATAGAAGCAATTTATTTTCCAATGATAACTGTGATTTTTTGTCTAGTAGCCAGTACATTTTCCTTAGTTGGATTCCCAGTGCTTTTCATTTAGAGAAGATGTTTTTCCAAGTCATACGATGATGTAAATAAAGCCCAAGTTATCTGGCTACATTTGCTTGGGGTATCTGTACTCTGTTGAGCCATACAGGGGGACATGTTTCTCGTCGCGTTGTGAAGGTCACTTGTATTGACTTAGATTCGTTGGCTTTTATTCGCCATGTGGTTCCAATTCGTGATGTTGTTTAGAGAGCGTTGAAGCATGTTGCTTGTGCTGGATCGTCATGGGAAGTTAAGGCTGCTGTGTCGTCAGCAAAAGTGCCGATCACAACGCCGTCTGTCATGGGCAGGTCTGCGGTAAAAATTAGATAGAGAACTGGACCAAGTACACTTCCTTGTGGCACTCCTGCCTGAACTCTATGGAGTTTGGTTATATCCTCTCCTTGCTTAACGATGGGATGATGTTTTGGGGGAGAATACAGTGCGGTAACAGTCAAGTGTCCTATCTAGTATAGTGCTTCTATCTCTGGAGTTTTATATGGCTCAATCTCATGGTGTTTAATATTATTCTTAATGAGTATTGTGGATCCTCCATGGGCTGTGCCATCCGGATGCATTGTTTGTTAAAATTTGTAGTTAAAGATTTTCAGGTAATTCTTTTTTGCAAAATGTTTTTCGGATATTAGCAAGATATCTATTATGGTTTTTAAAACTGTCTCCATTTCCAAGACATGGTGGGAGAGCCCGTTGGCATTTTAAAGGGCTATTTTTAATGAGTAGAAGGTTGCAACTTGGTCATGACTTCCATCACTCTGATTTTGATGGACATAGGATGATTTTTCCTTGACTATTCTTTTTATTAATTTTTATTATCTCTAAACTAATGTGAAAAAAAATTATAAAAAAGTAATAAATACATTCAAAACAATTCATTCATATATTTAACATTTTTATTGTCCTTAAATGAAACTACTTCATTACTTTTGATCATGAATATCTCAGTTTGTTCATTAAGTGACAAGAGCTATTTCTCCCCTCACCCCTTCAACATAGGAACAAGTACTTGCATGTCTGTGCCTTATTTATACTGATTGGTTATTGTGCTATAACATATTAAGCATATGAAGCAAGCTCTCATAAATTTGTTCTCTGATAAGTTTTTTAAGATAGGAATAAATTACTTTTATAGTAAAAATATTTATTCATTCCTTTCAGTTAAAATTAGTGCTGAAAATTAATATTGAATTAAAGATTGGTAAATTTAATTTAACAAATAATAATATCCATGCTATGTTTCCTGATTAATGATTTTGTAGGGGAGACAGTGCTATTCTGTTTCTAAGGTCAATTTGTCCTAAAATTCCTCTTAATATGGGGAAGAAGAAGATGATTTTATTCAATTTATTTTGTGGAAATGGATGAGGAAGAGGATTCGTGAAAAAATGTAGAAGTGCCGTTTATAGTGACAGCTTATGGTGGTATTTGGATTGTGGACCAAATAAAGTGTCTTGTATTAATCGTTATAAGGGACACATGCTCATTTTAATAATGAATGGACTAGTGAAATAAAAGTACACCGTACCATGCATATTGAATGTGAAGCATCGTACTTTCTATATGTGAGTGATTTGAGGAATACCAACACTTTTGTATTAATATTTAGCCGACACGCCGTACTTCGGCGGCGTGTTCCGCGTGCGGCTGGCGCTGGGGCGCGAGTTCCCCTCTGCGCCGCCGCGCGCCTTCTTCCTCACCAAGATCTTCCACCCCAACGTGTCGGCGGCGGGCGAGGTGTGCGTCAACACGCTGAAGCGCGACTGGCGGCCCGAGCTGGGGCTGGCGCACGCGCTGCTGGCCGTGCGCTGCCTGCTCATCGCGCCCAACGCCGACTCGGCGCTCAACGCCGACGCCGCCGCGCTGCTGCGCGACCGCTACGACGCCTACTTCGCGCGCGCCAAGCTCTTCACCGACATCCACGCGCGCGCCGACCGCCGCGCCCCCTCCGCCTCCTCGCCCCCCTCCGCCCCCTCCGCTGCCTCGTCGCCCCCCTCCGCCCCCTCCGCCTCGTCGCCCCCCTCCGCCGCCTCCGCCGCCTCGTCGCCCCCCTCCGCCACCTCCCCCTCCCCCCCGCCCCGCCAGGGCCCGCGCGCCAAGCGCGAGCGCCGCGCGGCCGGCCTGCGCGAGCGCCGCCGCATCCTGAAGCGCTTGTAGCGGCCCCGCCCTTGGCCCCACGACCGACTCACGATCATCCACCACTTGTATAAAATGTATCGTTTAGTTTTATTTATTTCTTAGTAAAACATGAAAAAGACGATCGCTTGTTTCCTTTCCCCCACTATTTACTATGTACTTTAAACAAAAACTATTTTTATGAGTTAAGCACGACATGTAGATCATGTTGTTAGTGTGATATTCACCAGGCTCATACTACTGCCATGCCGATGTCAACGCTTGAGAAAAACACCTAATGATTATCTAAATAATAAATCTCTATGTCAACAAACCCTTCTGGAATCCCAAAGCAAATCGAAGTAGGAATCTAACACGACCCTCGGCACCGAAACCATCAGCTTAGCAACTATGGCACCTAGACTTTCTTATTTAGTATATAATTTTGAATTAAAGTGATGGGGCCACGTAACAGCTTTTGCACGAATGTGCAGACTCGTCCGGGAAAGTACTTCTGCCTCACAGAAGACAGGCGTGAAATGGAATTGTTGAACTTTCGTGTTTCGTCTGGAAAGTGATGTAACCGGAGCCCACATTTTTAAAGGTTGTCAACGCACCGCCAAGCCATCGGGTGTTGTAGATGTTATTCATTCATTTAACATCAGGTGAATGACTTATTAGCTTTGAAGTCCACTGGGACTGGACTGCCACGTGGTAAATATAAGTTGGGGTACTGACCCCAACTTATTTTTACCACGTGGCGCTACAACCGCGACCTTAAATAAACACGTGTACCCCCTTTATGTCTCTTGTCCGTGTGTCACACCGATTTTCTCAGGAGCGGGTGGTTCTAGCAAGTTGAAATTTATATCAGATACTTTACTGTATCAGAATCAAGGTAGATTTTCATGAAAACCCGTAAGTACCACAAAACGGTGTTCATAAGTATTTGACGACCCGAATGGCGTAGTCGGTAGTGTACCTGCCTTCTGCGCCAGAGGGTGTGGGTTCGATCCACACTACTGGAAAAAGTACCCATAGTACAAGCATTGCTTAGTTTGGGACTACAGAATGTTGTGTAAAAAAAAAAAAAAGAAACAATATGGCCATTCGAATGCAATTTAACAATATAAACACAATATTTACTATATTAAACTGTTTTTATCTTGGGAGTCTTATGATAAATTATATCCTTATTTGTTTAAAAATGAGAAATTATTATATCTTTATGATAATAACTTCAAAAACAGGCCAATTTCCATTTACTCTAAATATGGGGTGAATAGATACAGCACATGGGGTTAATAGAAAAAAATTACAAAGCTGTCAAAATACTATAATTTTAATAATAACCCGGCAAACGCGATATAATGCATACATAAGTAACTATTCAAATTGCGAAATTGATGTTTTATTAAATCTGTTAATAACCGAGACTTGGAACATAATGACGGTGAGACTTGCCCATACCAGCGACCTATGGAAAGATCTGTCATCGGTATTTCGCTAAGGTATAAAATAAGAAACTGAAGCTAAAATGATAATGGGCTGGCCACATTTGTTGTAAAATCGATGAGCGTTGTTCTCTTCTGTTTTTCTCGATCAAACAGTTTGACCTCCTTGATTTTTCGTATTCATAGTCAATGTCCATATAGCACGGACCTATGTTTTATACTTTGTATTTTGTTTTTGAGACAGTATCAAGAGAAGCTGTATTATTCTATAACTGCCTGTTGTGTTAAGTCGGTATTGTATTATAAAATACCTCTTACCCCGAGTGTCCGATTTGGAGGTACGTTGCATATTTCAGTTAGTTAACTTGCACATTAAATGTAAAAAAGATACAGTTAAAAATAGAAACATTTTATACATTTCTATAATTAATTTATGAAATTTATTTTTACAAATGCTTACAGTTTTTTAGGACGTAGTGCAGATTGAAATATTGAAAAAAATTAATATAGTAGGTAAGGATTCTTCTAATTTATGTAAGCATACGCCTGTTTTGCTAATTTTGCCAACCCTAAACAAACTATTTCTAAAAACCCCCTTTAGCGTTTCTATTTAGACCTTCCTCGTTTCCATTCACCCCTCTCCAGTTTCCATTAACCCTAAAGGCCGTTTCTATTTACCCCTCAATCGTCTCTATCCACCTCTAAATTGAAGAATATTTAAATGTGTTGATTTTTTATTTAAAATATTTTAATAATCATACTTTTTTGTACATTTGTTTGTATACCTTAATAAAATAAAATAAAAATACTGATCAGTACAATTTTCCCATAGATATTTTACAGTTTACACGGTGAAATTCCCCATTAGATAAATTAATTTTATGATCAAAAGAGCCTTTTTCTTTTTATAAAAGAGAAATTAGAAAGAACGTAAATCACACAAGTAAAACCCTTGTAGTTTGAAGTCAACAAATTAACTCAATTTTTTAAATATTTGCTAGCTTCCGCCTATCCAAGTGTTGTCAGACAAAATAAAATATTTTGCCATTTAAATACAAACAATAGGTAATTGAGATTGCTGTAGTATTTTTTGAATCATGAGGTTTTAGAAATTTTCCTAAAATATTTTTTATTAACCCCGTAAATCCTATCCTAATCCTAATTGGATATCTCTGTGCTAATTTTCTCTGTACCACCCCAAGGTTGACTGGGAGATAATGCTTTTAGCATTAAGTCCGCCATTGTACTATTTGTGCATAAAGGGTAAATAAATAAATAAATAAATAAATGCCTGTACACTTCCGGAACACACCGTCAGGGAAAAATTCATTTATTTTTGAAAACTCAATTGACTAAAAATATCGGCAGTGAATTCGTCAGGCTTGTTTGCCGTGCAATTAATGTTACCATATTATAAAATCAAGAGTCAAATAATAGTATTATGTTAACTTTAAAATATTTTGTAAATATATTTTCGTATCATAAATACTTACTATTTTAAAAGTCACATTTCTGTGCTACGAATCAAGTTACCGTTTATAAAATAAAATAAGTTGGATTTGCAATTATTTCTTAAACCTAACACAAGTATAGTAAAACCGTTGAATGGAAAAAATAAACACCTTTGAGTCTGGCTGACAACGTTAGTTGCGAATATAAAATTGAAACATAAAGACGTTTAATTCCTCTAAATACAATTTTAGGAGCTAGATTTTACCGATTGTGAACTATAAACGTACGTAGCTAATAACAAATAATTTTGTATATTATAAACTAAACGAATAAATAAATAATAATAATTTTCTAAATACTTCATTATGAACCAAGCCTGTGAACTCGATTTTTAACAATATTTTGCCAATCATAGGATTTGTGATTATGATAAGGCAACACCTCACTAAAAACAAACTAGAGGCAGATTGTTTTTTTTGCTTTTATTATGATCCTTGCCCAGATTTTTTTTTGTTTAAATTGTGCTGAGTTAATTTTAGTGAATTTACTGGATCTAGTATTATCACTGAGTACGATTACGAAGTGGACGATTTTGTGATTTTTGTGGAAATTGTGTTGCGATTTGTGAGAGACTCCTTTGCGATATTGATACTTATATTATTTTAAATTAAATTTTAAGTTGTACGATATGGCAAGAAAGTATGACTTGTGTTAAATGCGGAATTGTATCGCCTTTGTATCCTAATCTCTGTGTCTAAAATGGAGAACATCGTTGATACTCAAAACCATATTTTTGTGAAATAAAAATATTCATGAATGTGTTTTATTAGTACCTACCTAATTCATAAGTAACTATACATGAATTCAAAAATTAATTAGGAAAGTAGCTATTTAAAAATTGTGTGCATACAATTACTATAGTTTGGTACCTTTGATGGGCCAGAATTACCAAAGTATTTTATGACTTGAAGGTTTTCTTGGTGGTATTGTCATAATAGATAATGAGGAATAAATAATTCAAAAGACAATGTTTTTTATTTATAGAATATCTAATATTATAAATGTTTTTCTTCAAAGATAACGGTAGGTACCGTAGGTACGTAAATATAAAAACTGCTTGATTTTTCTGGCTATTTTTCATATCGAGGCTTATTTCTAAGTTTTTTAAAAGCTGTAAAAGTCGAAATATATTGATAGTATCGTTACGGAAAATCTGTTACCTAAGTTGGTGGGTAAACGTTTTTAACTTCATCACAATAAAATATAACAGCCGTTTAGAATTAATTAATATTCTGTGAGATCGATTTGAATAGAATATTAGATATGTAATATGCTATCCTGTAGGTGCCGGAAACTTCTATGGCGTCGTTTGGTTTATTATAACCTTTTTTGCATAGCCTGTACCTAGAGCGCAGTCTATTTTATTATAGATTGTTTTTATTATTATTATAGATTGTTTTAAACTTATAGCACTAGTTTACGACATAACCTTAAAAACTTTAGACCGAAATATCTTTAATTCCACACTTCCTTTAATAACAATAAATATGTATGATATATTCAGAATATTAAATTCTATATTTTTACATATTTTTCGTCTTAAGATGCAAAAAAATTTGTTCAGAAAATTTGTATGGGAGTTCGCCACTGTCCTTTACCTTAATTTTCAACTTTTTATTTATCGGAATTTTTCCTTTACTTTCTTTAACGTTTATATTTTTTTATGATTATTGGCAAAACTACACCGTCTCCAACACGGCGGAGTTGCATTCGGGTCCGCCCCCCCCCCCCCCCCCCCCCCTTGGCCTCTTTCGACCGCAGTAGCTCTCGTGGGAGTGGACGTCCGTCAGGAGGACGGGCTTGGGCTGGGTGTGGCTCGTTATTCATGCGACGAGACCAAAAACTCTCTGATAGACTCCATTTTCAGGTCACGGGCTATCACGTCGTTCCTGATGCCCTGGCCCCACGATTACTCGAAGGGTGAGATTCTGCTGCGTCTGGAGCATGTGCCGCTGCAAGGCGAAAACCGGCGCGTCGTAGGTCAAGCGCGAGCGGACGTAGGTTTTGTACAAGGCGAGTTTGGTTCTCAGCGGTAACTTGGATGGAAGTATAAGCATGGTATATATATATATACCCTATGGTATAGGGGGAGAAAGGATCGGCAAGAAATTCAACAGTTGCTCTTTTCTAAAAATATCAGTTTACAATATAACATACCGGTATTAACTACACACATTGGGGTCGTCGAGATATTCTGCAATAGTTTAATATGCTTTAACCATAAGTTGACTTTTGATTTTACGTTTAAATTGATCAAGCGGTAGACTGTGGGATTTTATTATACATGCGCACACCTTGCCCTATGTACTTTTTGTAGGCGAAACAATTGCGTAGTAAGTTTGTCCTTTTTTCTAGTGTTTAATTTATGTCTGTCACTATTCTTTAGGTAAAAATTAAGGTTATGGCGAATATACAAAACATTACAATAAATGTATTTAATAAATGGTTTGAGAAGCAACATTGTGTATATTAATCAAAAACCAACTATCAAATAACAAATCTTTAAAAAGATCTCTGAGTGAACTCCGGACTCCGATATTGTAGATTGCTCGGACAGCTCTTTTTTGTAGAATAAATATAGAATTTATATCGGATGCACTAACCCACAACAAAATGCCGTACGACAAGATATTGTGAAAATAGCTGAAGTAAACAAGTCTGGCAGTGTCAATGTCTGTTAGCTGCCTAACTCTTCTAATCGCAAAAACAGCGGAGCTTAGCCTATTCGAAGAGGTGATACATGAGGACTCCACTGTGTAAGTATTTTGATTATACATTTTCATGTGGGTATTTGTTAATCTTAACATGGGAACTGAATACCGAATAAAGGTCAGTCTTGGTTCACTCATGCTCACCCATTAACGTGTCCAATTAACCTAACCCAAACATGGCGCAGTCGGTAGGATCAAATTAAAGTAAAATTATAATTTAAATCAAGAAGTGAAATAATTCGTCAAAGCAAAAAAAAAAAAGCTGTGAGAGCAAGTTTTGAAAATTATTATTCCTACGAGAACTGTATCAACGCAATGGAGTCTGTGTTACAACCGCCTCAACCGTTCATTTTTGAAAATAATTTAAGTAACGTGACATCGGGTAATTTATGCAAAGAGTGTGGGAAGAATGGAAGAAAACATTTCTAATATATTATGAAGCCTGTGAACTTGCGATCCAAAGGTACAAATTAACATTCTTCTACACGTCATCGGAGATAAGTGACAGAAAGTGTATGACCAACTCCTTTTGGAAAATGGACTTAAAGAATTTAAAACCATATATGAAGTGCTGTGAAAATTCGATGCCTTCTTTCTTCCACAAAAGAACATAAAAAATACCCACATGCAACTGTATAATCAAAATATCTACACACTAGAGCTTTGAATCTAATGTAATGCCCAGCAGAAATACAGCAGATTAATGAGTACTTTATTTAATACTAAACTAAAACTTTACCTTCTTATACTGGGAAGGGTAAAAAGAATACATCTAATTTTTTTTGGCATTTAATCGCATATTATTAATATTAAAGCAGTGGAGGAAATGCGAAGGTGCACTATTCACCTCGTCATAATTTAATACATTTCGGTAAACCTTAAAAAGTATTGTGGTCTACGCAGCCGAAAGCTTTTGAAAGGTCGCAAAAGACACCTATTGCATCTTGCGATCTTTCCCAAGCATTATAAATATGTTTGACAAGTATATATTATAGTATTGAGTTATGTGGTATGTAAAGTGGTATGGTTATGGTTAGACGGTGGCGAGTCGCGTACTGCCTCAAATTAGGCATGAAACGTACATAATTATGTACGTTAGTGTAATGTGCCTATGACGCACAAAGTGACAATGTCGCTGTTCTGTTGCGTAACTCCGAACACCTTGACTGGTGTGTGGATCACGGGAGGCAGCTTTGATTGGGCTTCAGCTTCTCTTCGGCCTTTAAGCTAGCGACGGCGTTGTCATTAATGTTTTCCGGAAAGTCGTGCGCAATTGCACGTCGAGGAGGTCTTCCTTCGGGGACCTTGACGGATACCTTGAATGTGGCTTGAACGTAGGTTCGAGAGGGTTCGGGTGTTGGAGTTCCAAATAATCCATTCCTCTTTCTACAGATTCTGAAAAATCTGCCTTGATACCTGTCCCTGGAATTAGACATCCTGGACGGACAAGGAGGCGATGGCTGGACGTTGTGAAGTACGATATGAGAGGCAATGGACTGACTATTAGGTAAGTAGACGCTGGCAATAAAAGTAAAGTATCAGCCTATACATGTCCCACTGCTGAGCAAATGCCTCCTCTGTACAGAGGGTATTAGGGCACAGTCCACCACGCGGCCCCACTGCGGATTGGCGGACTTCACACATCTTCGAAGATTTGCAGGTTTCCTCACGATGTTTTCCTTCACCGTTGAGCACGTGATAAGTCAGCACTTAAAAAACTTCATTGGTGCCGGCACCGGGGATCGAACTCGGAATGCTCGAGTATATTGAATTAAAGGCGAGCGTCCGGACACTGAGGTATCACGGCTCTAGCCGGGATTAATGCCAGGTAGAAGAAGAAGACAGCCGATAACGAAGTTTGAAGTACAATACAGTAGTTTCAGTTCTATTCTATATCGGCCGTGATAGCGTACGGAAGGGATAGTGTATAATCTCACTATTCATTGAATATACTTGAGCAATTTGAGTTCAAATCCGGGTTCCAGCACCGATGAAATTGTTAATTTTAAATGCTAACTTATCACTGCTCTGGTGAAGGAAAACATCGTGATGAAACCTGCATGCAAATTTTCGAAACATCAAAAAAAATATATTTAAAAGATTGCCCTTCGTACAGAGAAGGGCCTTTACGCAGCAGTGCTTTTTTATTAAGACGCTACTTGCTCATGAAAACGAATGAAGAAAAACACTTTGGAATTCATTGTTATATTTATATAGAATCCTTACGACTAATTCCTGTATTGAGTATGTGCGTCAGGCTTGTGTGCAGCAGGCGTCAGGGCTCGCGCTTGTCGGCGAGCGGCAGCGCGTCGCGCGAGGCGCGCGTCTCCGGGCGCGGCGCCAGCAGCGCGCGGTGCACCAGCGCGCCCACCAGCGCCCCGCCCAGAGGCCCCACCCAGTACACCTGCCGGCCGACGCTCAGGGTGAAGGGGCGATATAATGATACACTACGCGGATACACTACTGCCTGTCACACACAGCGAGAGTTCTATATAGAGAATTATGTCGTTGCGAGTACATGTAACGCTCACCCAATGGTCTGCTGTCATGCCCTGGAACAGCGCCGGTGCAAAGCTGCGCGCCGGGTTGAGACTGGCACCCGTGAAGGGTCCCTGTGAAATATCAAATACGTTTACATTTTAATACTTTTTTCCTTTTGTGTTTTTTCTGTTGCTGGGAAGAGCGAATATAGTTACGAAGCTCTGTTATAAGAGCGTAGTCAAGAAGCTAATGTTAATTTTTTTATGGATTTAGTTATGGATTTTTTTGTAGTGCCGTGATAGGTCAGTGTCCGGGCGCTCGCCTTTAATTACATTTACTCGAGCAACCTTAGTTTGATCCCCGGTGCCAGCACCAATGAAATTGCTAATTTTAAGTGCTGAATTATCACGTGCTCGGTGGTGAAGGAAAGCATCGTGAGGAAACCTGCATATTTTCGAAATAATAAAAAAATATTTCGAAAAATGTGAAGTCCGCCAATCCGCAGTGGACTTTGCCCTGATAAACTCTTTACAGAGGAGGTCTTTGTCCAGCAGTGGGACTTTCATAGGCTGTTACTTTATTTTACTTTATGGATGGTTTATAGAGCTAGACGCCAAATAAGAAGTTTTTTCTATAAATCAAATTTAATTCACGTTTCCTGACAAATAACGCGTAATCAGATCTAAAAGCATAAATTTCTTTCATATTAAATAACATGGATGTAAATGAGCATTCACCCCACATATAACCATGAAATGGCCACACAACCAAGCAAATCCTAACCGGGGATGGACGTTCGCTAATTGATGCTTAACAACGCAACGGCACCCTGCCACCATGAGCGGGGTCGTCGCTCGTTCCCATCTCACCCCCGCGTATATGAGGCCGGCCAAGGCGAGGCCGAACTTGAGCGAGACGGCGCGGTCGGGCCGCTGCTGGTCGTGCGCCGCCCACACCGCGCACGCCAGCATGGCCAGCGTGCCGGTGAGCGTCGCCTCGAGGGCCAGCGCGGCCGCCAGGCTGAGGCCGGGCGCGGGGTGCGTGGCGCCGCTGGTGGCGGCCGCCGGCGCCAGCGCCAGCAGCGCGCCGAAGCCGAGCAGCGCGCCGGCCAGCTGGGCCAGCGCGTACGCGGCCGCCGCCGCCGCCGCCGGCAGCCGGCGCGCCGCCAGCGCGGCCAGCGTCAGCGCCGGGTTCATGTGCGCCCCGGACACCGGCCCGAAGATCTCCACGTTCGCCACCACGATGAAGCCGAAGGTGAGCGCCGGGTGCGAGAGGGGCCGCGCCTCGCCGCCCACCGGCAGCATGGCCGCGATGCCGAGCAGCACCAGCAGCGCCGTGGCCACCAACTCCGCCAGCAGGGCGCGCCACCAGCGCCTCACCCACGCGCCGACGCTTCGCTCTGATTCTGCAAAAGGCGACATGCAAAGATCATCATCGCTGCCAGCCAGCGGTATCGCGCAGACCCGCACACGCCCACCAGACCTAGTAACATCTCATTTCATATTCATCGAAGTGAACGTAGTGTAACCGTTTGATGTATTATTTGTTATATTAAGAAAATGGTTTGACCAATGTCCCGTTTTACCCTCTGGGTACTTTTTACCCTTTTTAACCTTTTCACCCTAAAAACAATGTAGATAAAAGACGATGAGATTTTTGTCGGTGTGGCAATCAGCCGTTTCAATCAACTTGCGCGAATCTGGAAGACGTAGGTTTGATTCCAGCAGCGGCGAAAAACTTTTTGTTCTTTTTTCATAGATTTGTGTCGTGTATCAAAATTATGACCACTATAATGTATATGAATCTTTTTTTAATTTGTGTCACATGCACCGTGTGTGTCTAAGTATTTAGATTTGTCAATTAAATAAAGCAAATATAGCGTAGGTACGAAACAACTGTCTCGATAAGTCAAGGCAAAATCGACCTCGCACCCAAAATGTATTCGAAGTAATTAAACATAATATATTAAACTCGCTACGCACTAAACAACTTTATCGCATATTGTTAACCTATCAATATAGAATTAGTTCTACTTCTGCAGTTTATATGATAAGTTGAACAATGCACAATACCTAGTGCAAAGTAAATTGTAGTTGCTCCAGTCAATGAACAATGTATTGCGACGCCTTTTTTCTCCATACCTCGTTGTATGTTGTATATTTATATAGAGATTAAAGGGGCCCTTTAATGTCGATGTATTTATTTCATGCACTGACTTCAACAGGTTAAAATCTATGCAGTCGTCATTCTTATTCGTCATAATAGACATTTCATTTGTTGGAGTAATCTTACGAACACTGCATGGTGATCTGTGCTTTTATGGGTGCTTAAATAAATTTCGACTCGTTTGTGACTTTAGTTGCCGTATGTCTAATATGTTCTTCTTCTTCTAAGGCCGTTGGCGGTCCTTATGATATGCGTAAAGAAACAAATGGTTTCAAATATCTAAGAATATCTTCTGGTTGTTTATTTTTGCCTAGCTTTTATAGTCGAATATGTTTCTGTTTTACCGGATACCTATACATTTTCTGACATATGCACCGAGACATATAAGAAAAAAAATATAAGAATCGTACAGGCTACAAAATTGTAGGTACGATATTAAAATAATTCAATATATATTTTAAATTGTAACCTGTAAAATATTATTTAATAAATATTTTTAGCTAATGATGTAGTACAGTCCCTTTTTCCAAAATATAACGTCAAAGAGAAAACACAAAAAATTAAATCAGAAAAAAACTAGTTACTCATATTAGTCCATATGCGTAAACAGTTATTAGTATATTGTAAAATATTTGAGCTGTTAATGGTATCGTATCGTACATGGTATTATTTTACTGGGATGAGAGAAGGGGTTGTGAGGAGGAGAGAATGATATTCTGTTTAATTTAAATACACGTTTTTAGTTACGCTATTAATAGATATTTCAAGTATTTCGACAGAATTTCTCTACGTGGGGGCAATCACTATCATTTGAAATATTTAATTCAATTTAAAGTACAGAACTGAAGTGCAAACGTTGCAATAGGGTGTTATTTATCTATATGGATTTTTATGCTTTACGAATTGGAAACATACTCCACTTTCCACATTATTTTCAAAACGTAACATCACATGGCGCACTAGTATCACTGGTTAAAATCGGCACAAGTTCGAACTCGAGCACAAGTGGAACACTGGACCATTTCTCTACGTTATACTTGTTCTCTACAGTTGCACTAAGGTGATGCGACTGCTGCATGCAGTGACGTCAGCGGGCGGAGCTTTCGGCGCGGGATATTAATAAGTGCGGCGTTCGTTTGTACTGACCGTTGGTCGGCATCGTGTCGCTGCGGCGGACTGTGGACTGTCAGGTGGCAGACTGTCACGCTGTGGCGCTCCCGGCTCCCCACGCACGCGGCGGATACATGTGAGACAAGTGACGCCGCTTCCACGATGCGCCACCTCCCCTCCCCACCCCACGCTTCATCATCATGCATCAAGCGGTTCAAGCAAACTCCTCTAATGATACCGATATCAATAATTTCAACCAAATTTTGGCCTGGTTATTTTCATCAGATGGATTTTTGAATATCGCTACAGCATCGAAAGATATATCCACAATGTTCGCGTCAGTAATGAATAGTTAGATGGTGGCCAGTGAATTCGAATGCACCAAAAAGCAATATGTAATGTCGAAAATTAGAAAGCATATTATACATGACCTTTGCTATGCACGACCTCATTTCCGTAAAAAATTACCAGTCATTCCTAAATATTCGAATATTGTTATCGTGGTTAAAGTGAAAAATAAATACCTTCTAATATTAAACTAAAACTGTCACAAATGACTTTATTTCCTTTCTAACAAATTCATCTTCATGATTCCATGCTTTTAACACTTCTGATCTTTTGACAGCAAAAAACGCAATCAAATGCGATTTATGCTCATATTTATTTCTAGACAAGCCTAATATCTTCTTATCAGATGCCAGATGTCTTTTAAGATTTTTAATTTTTAAGGCTATCATTTTGTCGTCATCAACTTCAGAAAGAACGTAGCTCATCTCGCAGTGATAAATCGATTTTTTAGAGTATTCGATAGCGTATTCGAAAGTATTTATATTTCTACCTTCTTAGCTCGATAAAACAAAGTAAAGCTAACATCAGAAGCGGGATTTGACTCTTGTGTGTAATTAGTATTCGCGCCCTACGAGTTTAAAGTATAGTAATGAAAAAAAAATAGATTGACGTAATAGAATCTTATGCCATAAAATTTTTCGTGGAATCATAGTTCGATACGTTAACAAACTTTGAATAAGCTTAAAGGGTCTGCTAAGGTTTGGTATGGAAATACACGAAACTGTGGATTAATATTAATAACTGGGATATTTAGGTTATTCTACTATAGTTTATAATTGAAGCGTGTTGGCAAAGTAATATTTTAGTTAATTTTATAAGCCCATGTTAACTGTTGTCTTAATAACATTATAAGATCAGCTAGTGCATAACCTATGGGTGACAGTATTACTCGCCATAATGAGAGTAGTGAGCTGAAGCAGTCTACCTAAGACTAAAGGTGTGAACTGGAACAGGCGCTACCCCGGATTGAGGGAGTGTTGAGCATGTAGTGGATAACTTAAAGATGAAAGTATTACTCACCAGAATAGGAGTAGTGAGCTGAAGCAGTCTCTACCTAAGACTAAAGGTGTGAACTGGAACAGGCGCTACCCCGGATTAAGGGAGTGATGAGCATGTAGTAGATAACCTAGAGATGAAAGTATTACTCACCAGAATAGGAGTAGTGAGCTGAAGCAGTCTACCTAAGACTAAAGGTGTGAACTGGAACAGGCGCTACCCCGGATTGAGGGAGTGTTAAGCATGTAGTGGATAACCTAGAGATGAAAGTATTACTCACCAGAATAGGAGTAGTGAGCTGAAGCAGTCTCTACTTAAGACTAAAGGTGTGAACTGAAACAGGCGCTACCCCGGATTAAGGGAGTGATGAGCATGTAGTAGATAACCTAGAGATGAAAGTATTACTCACCAGAATAGGAGTAGTGAGCTGAAGCAGTCTCTACTTAAGACTAAAGGTGTGAACTGAAACAGGCGCTACCCCGGATTAAGGGAGTGATGAGCATGTAGTAGATAACCTAGAGATGATGAGTATTACTCACCAGAATAGGAGTAGTGAGCTGAAGCAGTCTACCTAAGACTAAAGGTGTGAACTGGAACAGGCGCTACCCCGGATTGAGGGAGTGATGAGCATGTAGTGGATAACCTAGAGATGAAAGTATTACTCACCAGAATAGGAGTAGTGAGCTGAAGCAGTCTCTACTTAAGACTAAAGGTGTGAACTGAAACAGGCGCTACCCCGGATTAAGGGAGTGATGAGCATGTAGTAGATAACCTAGAGATGAAAGTATTACTCACCAGAATAGGAGTAGTGAGCTGAAGCAGTCTCTACCTAAGACTAAAGGTGTGAACTGAAACAGGCGCTACCCCGGATTGAGGGAGTGATGAGCATGTAGTAGATAACCTAGAGATGAAAGTATTACTCACCAGAATAGGAGTAGTGAGCTGAAGCAGTCTACCTAAGACTAAAGGTGTGAACTGGAACAGGCGCTACCCCGGATTGAGGGAGAGTTAAGCATGTAGTGGATAACCTAGAGATGAAAGTATTACTCACCAGAATAGGAGTAGTGAGCTGAAGCAGTCTCTACTTAAGACTAAAGGTGTGAACTGAAACAGGCGCTACCCCGGATTAAGGGAGTGATGAGCATGTAGTAGATAACCTAGAGATGAAAGTATTACTCACCAGAATAGGAGTAGTGAGCTGAAGCAGTCTCTACTTAAGACTAAAGGTGTGAACTGAAACAGGCGCTACCCCGGATTAAGGGAGTGATGAGCATGTAGTAGATAACCTAGAGATGAAAGTATTACTCACCAGAATAGGAGTAGTGAGCTGAAGCAGTCTCTACCTAAGACTAAAGGTGTGAACTGAAACAGGCGCTACCCCGGATTGAGGGAGTGATGAGCATGTAGTAGATAACCTAGAGATGAAAGTATTACTCACCAGAATAGGAGTAGTGAGCTGAAGCAGTCTACCTAAGACTAAAGGTGTGAACTGGAACAGGCGCTACCCCGGATTGAGGGAGTGTTAAGCATGTAGTGGATAACCTAGAGATGAAAGTATTACTCACCAGAATAGGAGTAGTGAGCTGAAGCAGTCTCTACTTAAGACTAAAGGTGTGAACTGAAACAGGCGCTACCCCGGATTAAGGGAGTGATGAGCATGTAGTAGATAACCTAGAGATGAAAGTATTACTCACCAGAATAGGAGTAGTGAGCTGAAGCAGTCTCTATCTAAGACTTAAGGTGTGAACTGAACAATGTTTAGGGTTATCCGGTACAATCTATTCAATAGAGCTTTTTATTTTTGCGGAGCAGTTTATGCCTACAGTAGTTTGTGTTACAGACAATTTATGAACAGTTTCCTTTGGTTTTCTCGAATAAACGTTTTCCATTAGACAATTAGAATATCTTGAAGTATTATAAGACTATATCTTACAGTATTTTTGTTACAATTTTAATGTTACCAATATGTATGCGTGTCATTGACATTGCTCAAGTAACGAATCGCATGTTGGGAAATGTCACCAGAATGCGATTGTCAATAGCTCCATTGTTATTCAGTTCGTAAATATTAATATTAAACGAGTGGAGCTAATGAAATCACGTAGTCGAAGTAAATTACGTGTTGTAAGTGACAAGCGGTTCTATTCATTTATATGTGATAGGCGTCGTTACGTGTAATACGGGCTCAATTATTTACTTATATAACAATTCTACTTATTGAATAATATTTTAAAGTCATTTCAATGAGACATTTTAATATTTGCATTATTTTATGGAATTGAACGTACCTCACTCGAAGTACCTACTAGACGCAAAAAACTTGTACGAGGACCGTGTTTACATTCAAACATGGTGTTATGAAACTTGATAAAGTTAGTCGGTATCTTGAAATGAATTAAAATACCTAAAAATGTTATGAATATGAAACCTAGGCTAAGAAAAGATAAGCTTTTCCGTCAATGCTGATGCTATTAGTCAATGATGCATTCATTGAAATAAAAATAAAGTATGTCGACAATAAACCTTTTAAGATAATATGAATAAAAAATTGACGTGTATTTAAACACGGACAAACACACCTACCGTTCATGTGTGACGTGTAATCGGGAGGAGGTCGCACCAAACGTTCGTCGACTGGACAGTGCAGAGCACGATATGCGCTCTGGAATATAAACTGCTACTGTATTTACTTTTGCATTGTGCAAGGCATACGCACATAGATAACAATAGGTGAATGTTTGTCAATATCAAACAACATTCGTCATCGCCGAAGCCAGACAAGACAGGCTGCTTAGCTCTGGATGGGTGAGAGGAGCACGGGCCTGCGTTTGACCGGGCTTCGATATTAAGATTTCTCGAAAATCTCCAATTAGAATTGTTTTAATAATATGCTTGTTATTATTAAAACAATTCTATTATTATTAGGTTTGATTTAATTTAATGAAACTGGCGTTTTTCGCAGTAAGTCACGTTCTCAATAATAAGTTTGGGTCAGTTCGCAAAAATAATCGTATTAAACTTTGCATTTGAGTTAAATCGAGATCCCTAGATACTTAAGTAGTATTTGTTTATTTATTTATTTATTTACACTTTATGCACAATCTAGTACAAAGGCGGGCTTGATGCCAAAAGCATTTTCTACCAGTCAACCTTAGGGTGGTGTAGAGATATCGAGGTAGGTGCACAGATATAACGTGTAGAACGATGACGGGTTATTCACACACTAAACATAAATAACATAATATATATATATATATATATATATATATAAATAAATAAAATAAAATATATAATATATATATTAATATATAATAATATATATAATATATTTAGTAGAATTTAGTAAAAAAAAACCGGTCAAGTGCGAGTCGGACTCGTGCACGAAGGGCTCCGTACCATACCTACAAAAACGCAAACCATTACCTACTTACAAAAATCATGTCTATTGTACGGGAGCCCCAGTTAAATATTTATTTTATTCTTTTTTTTTAGTATTTGTTGTTATAGTGGCAACGGAAACAGATCATCATCATTTCAGCATGTCTGAGTCTACTGCTGAACATAGACCTCCCCCATAGACTGCCACGAAGTACGATCCTGAGCCACCTGCATCCATCGACTTCCCGCACATTTTCACAGGTCATCACTCCATCTAGTGGGGGGTCGTCCCACTCTGCGATGGTCAGTACGAGGCTGCCACTCGAG